TCTACCACTTGATATACACCTCTGCTCATCTGCCCAGGCTGGCTTTGACCCTTCATCCTCAGATCTCAGTGTCTAATGTGGCTGGCAGGCAGGCAAGCAGGCAGACAGACAGACAGACAAGACAGACAGATCTCTCTATATATTCATGTTTTTTTTTTGGCCAGTAGTGGGGCTTGAACTCAGGGCCTGTGTGCTGTTACTGAGCTGGCGCTGTACCACTTGAGCCACAGCACCACTTATGATTTTCTGGTGGCTCACTGGAGATCAGAGTCTCACAGACTTTCCTGCCTGAGTTGGCCTTGCACCGGGATCCTCAGATCTCAGCCTCCCGAGCAACTGGGATGACAGGCATGGGCCACAGTGCCAGTCTTTTAAAAATTAAAACCCCCCCACCAGGCCGGGGACGCGGCCCCAGCAGAGCCGGGCGGGCCCGGGGGTGTGCTCCACAGCCAGGAGTGGCCGCAGCTGCACCTGCGCGGCCTCTACTCACCAGGAAGCTGTAGAAGAACTCATGCACGAAGAGGCCCAGCATGCAGACCAGCACGTAGGCCACGTGGTAGAGGAAGGCCACGTCCAGGACCACCGCCCGGTACCCGCGTGTGAACGTGCCACGATTCCCCACAAAGCTCACCAGGAAGACGATCTTGTTGCAAAGCTGAAGGAAGGGAAGGCACGAGGTCACTGCCTGGAAGGCCCTCGGGAGACGCTGCAAAAGTCTAGTATGTGTCCATGCATGACTTCTCCCGTGTAGGAATCTGCTCCACACACAGCCCTCGGAGCCCAGCTGCCAGAGAGGCTGGCAGCCAGGACTGAGGCGGGTTTGTTGGTGGTGTTGGTGGTGGTGTTGGTGTTGGTGGTGTTGGTGGTGTGGTATTGGTGGTGGTGGTAGTGGTGGTGTTGATGTTGTTGTTGTTGCTGCTGTTGGTGGTGGTGGTGGTGTGGTATTGGTGTTGGTGGTGGTGATGGTGGTGTGGTATTGGTGGTGGTGATAGTGGTGTGGTATTGATGTTGGTGGTGGTGATAGTGGTGTGGTATTGATGTTGGTGGTGGTGATGGTGGTGTGGTATTGGTGGTGGTGGTAGTGGTGTTGATGGTGGTGGTGGTGGTGGTATTGTTGTTGGTGTTGTTGGTGGTGGTGGTGTGGTATTGGTGGTGGTGGTGGTGGTGATGGTTGGTTGGATTTTTGCTGGTCTTGGACCTTGAACTCAGGGCCTGAACACTGTTCTTGAACTTTTACTTCTTGCTCAAGGCTAGCTCTCTACCACTTGAGCCACACCTCCACTGCCAGCATGTTTTGGTAATTTATATTTTGGGGTCATTAATTGGAGATAAGAGTCTTATGGACTTTTTCTTTTAACTGGGCTATCTTAGAACTATAATCCTCAGATCTCAGTCTCCTAAGTAGCTAATAATACAGGCATGACCCACCGGTTCAAGGATTGAGATAGACAGACAGACAGACAGACAGAGACAGATAGATAGATAGATAGATAGACTTACACTCATACATACATATTACACATATATATATATATATATATATATGTAATTTGATAGTAAGTGTGGGTCACCTCCATTAATTTTAGCTTATAGCTTCATCTGTTCCACAAGGCAAATGTCTAGGTATAAACTAAATGAACACACGAATACACGATAGCATTGGTTTCTGTTTTCATTGACCTCTGCCTTCTGAAGAATGACAAACCAGGATAATTTTATAAGCTTATATTACAATTACACAATTATTGCATAAACCACTTCCATTAACCCACATCACATTAAGTTTAGAGACACAAGTGTTCCCACCAACTCTACAATATCAAACTGCAAGTATCCCATCAAATTTGTCCAAAATTGGCCATGATTATTTGGTCAAAGTACCCTACACCTAGACCACTGAACCTTATCAGCCAGTGTTTGGCTAGACAAAGGTATTTTTTCTCTGTCCAAGCTCTGTCCAAGCCACCAGGCACTGGCTGCTTTCACACCTGTAATCCTGGCGGATCTCACACCTGTAATCCTGGCAGCTCTCACACCTGTAATCCTGGCTGAGGAGGCTGAGGTCTGAGGATGGCACTTTGAAGCCAGCCTGGGCAGGGAACTCCATGAGACTTATCTCCAAGAAACCACTTAGAAAACCTGAAGTAGAGCTGTGGCTCAAAGTCGCAGAGTGTGAGCCACACTTGAGCTCAAAAGCTCAGGGACAGCATCCAGGCCCCGACTGAGTTCGAGCCCATGACTCACAACAACAAAAAGAGTAGGAATGTGTTCATGGAGCATTAAGACAGGTTATATCCACAGTCATTTCTTCATTTCTGCAGTGTTTACAGCTGACCTCAGTGCTCCATGCTTAGTAGGCATTCATATTTAGTCTTTCTTATTAAAACTCTGAAGCATGGTAAGGGTGCTAGCAGCTTTTGCCTGCAATCCTAGCTACTCAGGAGGCTGAGAGCTGGAGGATTGTGGTTTGAGGCCATTCTGGGCAGAAAACTTCACTAGATTCCATTTGCAAAGTAATCAGCCAAAAGAGAATGCTTGGAAGCATGGCTCAAATGGTAGAACATTGGCTGAACAAGTACAAAGCCCTGAGTTCAAATCCTGGTATGGCCAAAAAAGGTCGGGGGGAAGGAAGAAGAAACTCCATCAGTGTGCCTTCTATTTGAACAGAGACTTGCTTTGGATGAATTATCTGCATGGAACCAAGTAAAAGTTATCTCTCTATCCAGACCCAAGAGAGGGGAAAAGGAAAATGGTGCACACACTTCTGGTTTTCCCCATCAGACATGAGAATGTTGTATTTTTATTTCTTTATATATGTGTGGTTCAAATATTAAGAATATGAGAACAGTGAGCAGACAGATTGACTTCCGATGGCAGCGTCACATTCTCTGTTTCCTGCACTTTTAAAAATCGGTATTAAGTAACGGAGGCCCAGGGGATGTTTTGTTATCTCTGGCACAAGTCTAGGAAGCGATTATTTCACTTGACCAAACGTAAGATTTTCCTCACTTGGAATAACATTCAGTAGCCTGACTGAGGGCTAGTTACCTCTTTAGAAACAGTATTTGCTTCAAATAATAGCGCTTCCACATGGCTGTTTTGTTTTGTTTTTGTGGCAGCACTGGGGCCTGAACTCAGGGCCTGGGTGCTGTCCCATAGCTTTTTCATTCAAGGCTATAGCTCTCTCTACCACTAAAGCTACAGCTCCACTTCCAGTTCTTGAGATAAGAGTCTCAGGGAGTTTCCTGCCCAGGCTGGCTTTGAACCACATCTTGCTTGGTAAGATCACAGAACTAGTCCATTTATTTCCAAACTTCATGCTCAAATATTCGAATATTCAAATGCCAATAATTAGGGTGGAAAAGGGTGCAGATTGGTGGAAGAGGATCACACATATAAATACAGCAATCAGCCCCCTGAAAAATCTTACAGGATAGTAGATTTGATATAACACCTTCTACTAGGGATGGAGGCATGACTCAGGGGGTAGAGCACCAGCCAGTGAGTGACAGTGTCAGATTCTGGGTTTGAGTCTGGTCTCAGAAAAAAAAATAACCCTTCTACTGATAGGCTTATTTTTCATTACTGGGTTTCACCTCTCAGAGCCGACTCCTTGTTAGCTGGTGCTCTACCACTTGAGCCACACCTCCACTTCTGGCCTTTTGCTGGTTAACTGGAAATCAAGAGTAGCACAGAGTTTCTTAACTGGGCTGGCTTCGAACTGTGATGCCCAGATACTCAGCCTTCTGAGTAGCCAGGATGACAGGTTGGAGCCACCAGAGCCCAGCTTGAGTCTCCTTTATATTTATAATATACTTCCCATATTGACAACAGCAAAGACCTGGTGATCTGGCTTCTGGAGCATTCTTTTTTGCTGGAAACTGTCATTTTTATTATTTCTAGTTTTTTGAAACATTGTAAGAAAATACAAAAATACTGAACTGTAGCCAGGGGCCTAGCTACTCAACAGGCTGAGATCTGAGGATCACGGTTCAAAGCAAGCCAGGGACGAAAAGACTATGAGACTCTGATCTCCAATGAACCACCAGAAAAATCAGAAGTGGAGCTGTAGCTCAAGTGGTAGAGCGGTGGCCTTGAGCCAAAAAAAACCCCCAAAAACCTAAGTGACAGTTCCCAGGCCTTGAGTTCAAGGCCAGGTTGGCACTTTAAAAAAGGTTAAAAAAAGTTTTAAAACCAGTTAAGACTTTCATGTGCTGTGGGTATATTCAGTAGACAAGAATATTTAAGAATCGCATATTTGTTATTTCATCCATTCACGATTTATGTTTTTTTCATCTAAGAAAGCTCCAGTTTCATGCAGACTCCATTTACACTTTGATTTCTTAAGTGAGATTATTTCTGTAAATGTCCTACTTGGTTTTGTTGTTGTTGTTGTTGTGTGTCATTCTTGGGGTTTGAACTCAGGGCCTGGGTGCTGTCTCCGAGCTTCTTTTGCTCAAGGCTAGTGTCCTACCACTTGAGCCACAGTGCCACTTCCAGCTTTTTCTGAGTAGTTTATTGGAAATAAGAATCTCATGGACTTTCCTGCCTGGGCTGGCTTCTAACCACAATCCTCAGATCTCAGCCTCCTGGGTAGCTGGGATTAGAGCCACAACACCAAGCCCTACTTGTATTTTGAAATAGCATGTTAGCTCACTCATGCTAAAGTTACCTAAGGAAAGCTTCAAAATGCTCAGCCTTATCCTCATATTACAAACGTTGGTTTAAAAAAATTATCTCCATCTGTTATTTGTTTATAGAATTTGTTCACGTGGAAAGGAACCCAATGTCATATATTTTTTTAACACAGCAGCTTTTTCTCATAGGTCCTTTGATGAAAATTACTCAATTCTAAAATTCTACTGAATGTAATGTAACCTTTCTTAGATGATTTTGAAGCCTCTTCAGGATGTCAACAGTGGCTCAGTGTGGTTTCTTTTTAATCAGTAGCTGTGGGTATGGGATACAGAAGGGATTAAAATTGCATTAGATGAATGTAATGACTGAACTGGGTCGTGGCCCACACACCAGTTGGTGACTAAATCAACCTTTTTTTAACCTTTCCCTCCTTTCCTTCCCTCTAAATGAAATGAAGGAACAAAGGCTATGCACTATGTGCTGTGCTTGTGAACTGAAATTCACCTACATCAGAATTCACTAAATCCATGAAGGAAAGCTGCAGAACATCACACACCGAATGCACTTGTAGTCGACTCCGTACAGATACAAAGCCACCAAAGTACTTACGTTCGCAGCGCCGAGAAGGATTAACGTGGGGCCCAGACCTATTGTGTAGATGGATCTGAGCATTATGGACACGAGAAATGGTCGGAGCCCCACGGGCTTGGAGAGGAAGAACAGCATCGAGGTACAGATCGCAACAGCTACCCAAAGAAGGGCCGAGAACAATGGCGAAAGTGTGCCTGCAGCAAGGACAAGTGAGTTTTTACTGAGAAGAAAACTGCAAAGTGGCCAGGCGCCGGCGGCTCCCACCTGTGACATCTGAGGATCACAGTTGGAAGCCCGCCTGGGCAGGAAAGTCCCTGAGACTCTCATCTCCAGTGAACCACCAAAGACCAGAAGTGGCACCGTGGCTCAAAGTGATGGAATACCAGCCTTGAACAAAAGAGCTCAAAGACAGAATCCAGGCCCTGAGTTCAAGATCCGTGACTGACCGGAAAAAAAAAAACACTCTGAAAAATGGTCTGTACTCTCCATGCTACTGCAAGACAAACTGTAAAGCATGGAACTTGCAAAACAATGCATTTCCTTTTACGTATTTTTGTGTGTGCCAGTACTGGGGCTTGAACTCAGGGCATTAAGCTCTTACTTGGCTTTGTTGCTCAACTTTGGCCCTCTACCACTTGAGCCGTACCTCCACTTCCAGCTTTTTTTGCTGGTTTATTGGAGATGAAAGAGTCTTGTGGATTTTCTGCCTGGGCTGGCTTTGAACCCTGATCCTCATGTCTCAGCCTCATGAACAGCTAGAAACAGGAATGAACCACCAGCAAGCATTCAGCAAAACCACCCCTCTGTACTGTAGATATTCTAAGGAAATGTCTTTGAAAACATTACTTATTATTAAATTTCCAGAAAGTTTGTGACTAATTTCAAGGCAACTTAAAAGACTAGCTAGTGGTGTTTCACATGTGCAATCCTGGTTGTCAGGATGATGAGATACGAGGATCAAGGGTCAAAGCCAGGTTGGACAGTGGATACCCTCAGCTCTAATTAACCAGCAAAAAGCCAGAAGTCAGGGCCTAGCTCAAGTACTAGAGCACCAGCCTGAGATATAAAAGCCAAGGGAGTGCTGGGGCCCTGGGTGTAATCCCAATGACTAGCACACACGCATGCACAGACACACAGATACACACACACACACACACACACACACACACACACACACATTTTCTCGCTTAAAAAAATAGTATAAGCCAAGCACTGGTGGCTCACACCTATAATTGCAGCTACTCAGGAGGCCAAGATCTGAGGATCACAGTTCAAAGCCAGCCCAGGCAGGAAAGTCTGTGAGACGCTTATTTCTAACGTGGAGCTGTGGCTTAGGTGGGGGAGTACCAGCCTTGAGCATGAAAGCGTGGAGGCCTGAAGGGTGAAGAAATGCAGCTGTGGTCCTCACTGGACACCATGTGGAAAATGAACTCTGCAATTGATGGGTGGGGACGGGGGGAAAACTGGGAGAGAGCAAGGGAAGGGGAACACTCCAAAAAGAAACGTATTCATGACCTGACCTGTCACCTTCAGCCTCCTACATGTCACCTTAATAATAACAAGTTAAAAGATAAAAACAAGCTCGGGGAAAGAACCAAGCCAGAGTTCAAACCCCAGATGGAAACTCAGACCCAGACCCAGACCCAGAAGGCGGTGCGGTTCAGTGACATCTGCAGCAGCTGGCAGGAGGACGCTGGGCTCAGGCCGCGGCTCTGCTCCCTCCGTGGTCCTGTAAGGAGACCTGGAGCTCTGTGAGGACACAGGCGGCTTCCCGTGCTTCCCTGAGCAGGGCCTCACCTGGGCCAGCACACTGTGGCCCTGAGGACACCAGTAAATTCAAGTCTCTCCTAAGAACTCACTTGCTCTCACACAAACTGTGAAGAGTCTCTCTGTCTCTGTCTCTCTCTCCCTGTCTCTCCCTGTCTCTGTCTCTCTCTCTCTCAAAACCATTCGCTATCTTGGGTTCTGTTTGCCCCATCTCCGACTCTGCTTGTGCCAGGGGAAATCCAGGCCGGAACACAGTGGCCATGGCAATCTTCAACTCCTGAGGAGACCTCCAGGACACTTCCAGCATCCACCGCAGCTGAATCAGCCTGGCAGGAACGAGCGAGACAGTCTAGACCCATCCGTCCAAGACAGAGGGGCCCTGCTGGCTGGCCTTGGTTGTTTACAATCTCCTTTTGAATTCTGCTCAATAGCAAGCTCCTGAAGGTAGACACTACTCTTTCGTTAATATTCTAAGCCAAGAATGAACCAGGTATCTGTTGTAATGACCTGGGAGCAAGAAAATCCCCAGAGGCACGGTTAAAAGTGACAAAGGAGTTCTTATTAGTCGGTCAGCAACTGGGCTACCTCAGAACTAGAAGCAACTGCAACCTCCAAAAGGGGGCAGGTTTTTCTTCCCTTTTCCTCCTTCCTCCTTCCCGCAGGCCTCACAAGCCTCTCTCATCTCCACAGGCCTCTGTGCTCTCCACAGGCCTCTCTCCTCTCCACAGGCCTCTCTCCTCTCCACAGGCCTCTCTGCTCTCCACAGGCCTCCCATATCCACAGGTCTCTCTGTTCTCAACAGGCCTCTCCGCTCCACAAGCCTCTCCTCTCCACAGGCCTCTGCTCTCCACAGGCCTCTCTCCTCTCCACAGGCCTCTCCTATCCACAGGCCTCTCTCCTCTCCACAGGCCTCTCCTCTCCACAGGTCTCTCCTCTCCACAGGTCTCTCTCCTCTCCACAGGCCTCTCTGCTCTCCACAGGCCTCTCTGCTCTCCACAGGCCTCTCTCCTCTCCACAGGCCTCTCTGCTCTCCACAGGCCTCCCCTATCCACAGGTCTCTCTGTTCTCAACAGGCCTCTCCGCTCCACAAGCCTCTCCTCTCCACAGGCTTCTGCTCTCCACAGGCCTCTCTCCTCTCCACAGGCCTCTCTCCTCTCCACAGGCCTCTCCACTCCACAGGCCTCTCTCCTCTCCACAGGCCTCTCCTCTCCACAGGCCTCTCTCCTCTCCACAGGCCTCTCTGCTCTCCACAGGCCTCTCTCCTCTCCACAGGCCTCTCTCCTCTCCACAGGCCTTCCCATTCTCCAGAGGCCTCTCTACAGGCCGCTCACCTCTCTGCAGGTCTCCCACCTCTTCCCAGGCCTCTCCACAGACCTCTCTGCTCTCCATAGGCTTCTCCACAGGCCTTTCCACAGGCTTCTCCGTGGGCCTCTCCACTCTCCACAGGCCTCTCCACTCTCCACAGGCTTCTCTACTCTCCAAGGCTTCTCCACAGGCCTCTCCACTCTCCACAGGCTTCTCCGCGGGCCTCTCCACTCTCCACAGACTTCTCTACTCTTCACGGGCTTCTCCGTGGGCCTCTCCACTCTCCACAGGCTTCTCCGCTCTCCACAGGCTTCTCTGCGGGCCTCTCCACTCTCCACAGGCTTCTCCACTCTCCACAGGCTTCTCCACAGGCCTCTCCACTATCCACAGGCTTCTCCACTCTCCACAGGCTTCTCCACTCTCCACAGGCTTCTCCACTCTCCACAGGCTTCTCCACGGGCCTCTCCACTCTTTACAGGCCTCTCCACTCTCCACAGGCTTCTCCACAGGCCTCTCTGCTCTCCACAGGCTTCTCCACAGGCCTCTCCACTCTCCACAGGCTTCTCCACAGGCCTCTCCACTCTCCACAGGCTTCTCCACAGGCCTCTCCACTCTCCACAGGCCTCTCCACTCTCCACAGGCCTCTCCACTCTCCACAGGCCTTTCCACTCTCCACAGGCGTCTCCACAGGCCTCTCCACTCTCCACAGGCCTCTCTCCTCTCCACAGGCCTCTCCACTCTCCACAGGCGTCTCCACAGGCCTCTCCACTCTCCACAGGCCTCTCCACAGGTTCCTCTGCAGGCCTCTTGGTTCTTCACAGGCCTCAGGCCTCTCCGCCTGGCTGCACCACTCTGGGAGGCCCCTCTCTTGCAGCCTCTTGTGGTGTGTCTGTCTCTCTCTCTATCCCTCCCCCAGAGCAAGCAGCCTAAATATATCAGGTGTCTCCCCCCTCACCCCCCCCCGCAGCGGCCAGCATGGATGGTGGTGACATCGGCATGGGGCAGGACTTCCCGCCCCTCTGGTTTTCACACTTTGCCAAGAAAGTCTCAGTAGCTCTAAAGGTTAGCAGGCTGGAAAACACACCTGGAGGAAACACACACAGCCCACACCCTGTGCCAGCCCATTCCATACTGGGCTAGATGACTTTTGAGAAAAAAAGATTGAGGTCTGGGGTTGGAAAGGGTACTGTGTGTTCATCTGAGATCTTTTACTGGTTATTGATTCAGGATGTACCATATTATTTCTTTGTGTGTGTGTATATGTCAATCCTGAGGCTTGAACTCAGAGCCTGGGCACTGTCTCTGAGCCTCTGTGACAAGGCTAGCACTCTACCATTTTGAGCCACAGTTTCACTTGCAGCTTTTTAGTGCTTTGTTGGAGAGAAGAGTCTTACAGACTTTCTTGCTCAGGCTGGCTTTGAACCATAATTCTTAGATCTTAGTCTCCTGAGTAGCTGGGATTATAGGCATAAGCTACTGGCGCCTGGTTAGTTTCTCTTAATTTAGGCATTTATCTCATCTTTGGCTTTCATAAGTTTCATAAATTTGAAAAACACTCTTCTACTATCTTGTAGAATGACTCATTTGGGGTCTGTCTGAAATTTCCCAAATTGAAATTACGTCAAAATTTTTTGGCAGAGTCCTGGCTAGAGCAATGTATCAGGATTCAATGATTACTTCATTAAAGCAATTTCTCTATTTCAAAACTACTCCTTGTCCTTTTCTTAATAGGTAAATATATTGTGAGGAGATGCTTTAAGACTACAGTCAATCTCTTCATGTTTTTCATTATGTGATCAACCATTATTTTAGCATCTGTTGATGAGTCTGACAACTGTGGTATTTGTCAAATGGCAACAATCTATTTCCATTATTGCTCACACAGTTTATTAACTAGAATACAATTATTAAAAAACAAAAATCTCTCAGCTAAGCACAGGTAGCTCATGCCTGTAAGCTTCTCAGGAAGCTGAGGTCTTAGGATTACAGTTCAAAGCCAGGCTAAAGATATAAGTAAATAATACTCTTACCTCCAATGAACTAGCAAAAAGCAAAACTTGGAGGTGTGGCTCAAGTGGTAGAGAACCAGCCTCACGTGAAAAAGACAAGAGAGCAAGGCTCTGAGTTCAAGTCCTACTATTGGCGCACACACACGCACACACACGCATGCACACACACATGCACACGCACACACGCACGCACATGCACATGCACACACACATGCGCGCGCATGCACACGCACACACGCACACACACAGACGGAAGTCTCTCGTGTCTGGACGCTCTGTGTAATTTCAGGATTGCTTTAGAACACTGTGCTATGCATCCTGTAAGGAAGGGTAGGCTCTTACCTTCATCTCCATCGTCTCCAAATGGGTAGAACAGGGCGACAGCGAGATTGATGAACACGGCCAGGTTAAAGGAAATGCTTCCCCACAGGGAGATGTGCCTCGAGAACCAGAACAGGGTGGGGTTGCCTGAGAAACAGCCAGGGAGCGGGGCCAGGGCAGAAAAGAATATTTCATTTCAACTCATGGTGTTCTGAGTGAAGCTTCATGCACTGTAAGAAAACACTTCCAGGAACATCAACGGTGGCTTACGTGGGAAAGTTTCTTAAAATTAATCACTTCTGCCAGGCACCAGTGGCTCACACCTGTGATCCTAGCTACTCAAGAGGTTGAGATCTGAGGATCCTGGTTTGAACCCAGACAGGAAAGTCCATGAGACTCTTAGCTCCAGTGAACCACCAGAAAACTGAAAGTGACACTGTGGCTCAAAATAGTAGAGCACTAGCCTTGAGCAAAAAGAGCTCAGGGACAGCATCAAGGCCCTGAGTTCAAACCCCACGACTGACCAAAGTAATAATTATAATAATAACTTTTGTATTGCTTTTCTGACTCCTTCTTAATCCTATGTCTGCTTTTCTGGCTGTTGTTGTTTACTTTTATTTATTTATTTTGGGGAATGGATAGTAGGGCTTGAATTCAGGGCCTACCTGGGCTCTGTCCCTGAGGTTTTCTTGCTCAAGGCTGGTGCTCTACATTGAGCTACAACACCACTTCCAGCTTTTTTGCTAATTAATTGGAGGTAGGAGTCTCCTGAACTTTTCTGCCCAGGCTGGCACCAAACCATGATCCTCAGGTCTCAGACTCCTAAGTAGCTGGAATTATAGCCATCAGTGCCAGACTCAGAAAAGATACTTCTATAGTAATTTCCTCTTATGTGTCCCCAGAGCTAATGAGGACCCAGTTTAGCAGCTGCCTATGACTCCTTTTAGTAAAATGGCATCCCTGTATCCATGGTAACATGACCTTTAAACTGGCTGCAATCCCATGCTTTAAAGACAGAAATTACTAGCAAAGGTGAGCTTCTCATAAGAATTCCTGTAACAGGAAGAGACTCCGTGGGGGATGGGGGAAGTGGGAGAAAAATGAGGGGGGGGTAACAATGTTTGACAAGAAATGGACTCATTGCCTTAACATAACAGTGATCCCTCTGTACATCACCTTCACAGTAACATTAATTTTTTTTGTTGTTGGTCATGGGCTTGAACTCTGGGCCTGGGCACTGTCCCTCAGCTCTTCAGCTCAAGGTCAGTGCTCTACCACTTGAGCCACAGCGCCACTGGTTTTTGTGGTTTTCTAGTGGTTTACTGGAGATAAGAGTCTCACAGACTTTCCTGCCAGGGCTGGCTTTGAACTGCGATCCTCAGATCTCAGCCTCCTGAGTAGCGAGGATGACAGGCGTGAGCCACCGGTGCCTGGCAAAATTAAAAAAACACTTTCAACTGAAAAAAAATTCCTGTAACACAAATTCTCATGGAAATCTGAGTCTCAGCACTGGAGCACAGAACTGCTTGCTGGGAGCTGCTGATTTATGATGTTTGTCCACTTTCAACTGTAACAGTTTGCCAACAACCTGGTGGGTTTGGAAGAATTCACATCTGGGCGCTGTGTCGCGCCTGTCATCCAGCCACTCAGGGGCTGAGATCCGAGGGCCACAGGACACACCCAGTGTGGCAAAAAGGTCTGGGAGAGTCTTAGCTCCAATGAGCCAGCAAAAAGCTGGGAGTAGAGCCGTGGTTCAAGTGACAGAGCACTAGGCTTGAGGACAAAAAGCTCAGAGACAGCGCCCAGGCCCAGGGTTCAAACTCTAGTACACACACAGGTTTACATGGCTTGCTGTCATGTATCTCATGTGCTGAGCTACCATTTACACACAAACTCGTGGCTTCAGCTGAATGAGTACACTCACTCCTGATTTTCTTCTGCCACTTCATCTCGTTGTAGAGATCCTCCGTTTGCTGGAAGAAGTCGTTCACCTTGCTTCCTTGCTCATCCCGCTCTGTCGTGTTGAACACGCGGGACTTGGACTCTCGCGTGAGGAATTCACAGATGCTGGGGACAGGGAAAACTATCTGCTCCATGGTCCGGTCAGGCCGAACAATCTGAAAACATCCATTCATTTATAGTTGATAAACTGATTTTCAGTAATATCAGTTATCATAATTATGTTCCATTCACCCTGCAAAGGGGGGCGGGGTTTGGGTGCTACTCCTGAGGCTTGAACTCAGGGCCCGGACACTGTTCCTGAACACTTTCAATTAACTAGCACTCTACCATTTGAGACATAGCTCCCTCCACTTCTGGCTTTTTGTTTTGTTTTGGTGTAATTGGTTGTGGGGCTTGAACTCAGGGATTGGGAGCTGTCCCTGAGCCTTTTTGTGCTCAAGCACACGTTACCACTTGAGCCACAGCTCCACTTCCATTTTTTGAGTGGTTCATTGGAAGGACTTTCGTGGCCAAGCTGGCTTTGAACTGCAATCCTCAGATCTCGGCCTCCTGAGTAGCTAGGATTACAGGCATGAGCCAGTGGTGCCCAGCTCACTTCTGGGTTTTTGATAGTTACTTAGAGAAAGGAGTCTCCACGGTCTTTCGTGCCTGGGCTGGATTTGAACCACAATCCTCAGATCTCAGCCCCTTGAGTAGCTAGGATTGCAGGTGTGAACTAATGGCATATGGCCCATCTTGTTTAGCTTTTATAAATACAAAGATATAAATATAAACACCTGATCCTGTGTCACATTGGAGAGAGTTGAAGTGTACATGAAGCTCACAGTATGTCATTGTGATCAATATTGGTAAATTACTGCAGGCTGGAAGTGGGGAGGGGAGATTCACTGAAGGGCACCTGTGAGCTGTACTGTGGACGAACATGAAAACTAGTGTCTGTGGAGAACTTGTGGGCACCAAAGCCTTTTAACATTCAATAACTTCTCTTTAGAAGTTATTATAGCAGGTAATTGGTTATAATCTATCAGAGCCAACTAATGAAACTATGCAATCTAGCCAGGCATTGGGGCTCATGCCTGTAATTCGAGCTGCTCAGGTAGGCTGAGACCTGAGGAATGCAAATAAAAAAAAAAGTGTGCAAGATTCTACAGCTGATGAATCAGCAAAATGGCTGACTGGAGGCCTGACTCAAGCGGCAGAGCACCAGCCTTGAGTGAAAAAGCCAAGGAGAGCTTGAAACTTAGAGTTTGAGCCCCAGTACTGACAATAAAGAGTAAATAATAAAAACCTGCACAGTGTAAATGAGTCGTGATAAGCCTCAGCTCACTCCAACTGGATTAGTTCAGCCAGTAAGTGTCAAGATGATAATCAGGGTAGTGATGACAGATAGAGCTCCCAACACACAACACTGAATCCACAAAGACCATGGGGCCGACTGCCATCGCCACTAAGGCGTGACTCATTTTGAGGGTGAAGAGGCCAATGACCTGCTCTAGCTTATGATACCAATATGGAAACTTCATCTAGAGTTTTCCACATTTTCTACGCTTTGGACCATTAATACAGGCAGAGATCTCTATTGTATCGTGCCTTCCTTTTTTCTTTTAATGTTCAAAAATTGCTTTTGTAGGCAGGTACCATAGCTCACGCCTGTCATCCTAGAGCCTAGGGAGGCTGAGATCTGAGGATCGCAGTTCAAAGCCAGCCTGAGCAGGAAAGTACATGGGACTCTTTTTTTTATTTTATTTTATTTGTGAAGATACTGTACAGAGGGGTTACAATTACATGGGCAGGATAATGCGTACATTTCTTACCAAGCATTGCAGCCTCCTCCTTTTGTTTACCCTTCACATCCCTTCCCAGCCTCCCCCCTCCCCCCATCCCAATCTTTCTCCTTCCCCCCTTCCCCGCCCCCCCCCCCCCGCACCAATGTTGTAAAGCTCGTTTTGGACACGACAACTTGTACTTCTCATTGTTGCAACTTTTCCCCATCTCCTCCTCAAGTTATACTGACATCAAATATAGTGAAAGCAGGGGTTATACTGTGGGGGAGGGACATACCAAGCAACAAAGAGATAATCTTATAAGTGCATTAGAAACACATGCAGTACATGGGACTCTTATCTCTAATGAACCACCAGAAAACTGGAACTGGTGCTGTGGCTCAAGTGTAGAGCGCCAGCCTTGAGCTGAAGAGCTGAGGGACAGCGCCCAGGCCCAGAGTTCAAGATGCATGGGTGACAAAAAAAATTGTGGGTGTGTGCATGCGTGCGTGTGTGTGTGTGTGCATGTGTGTGTGTGTGTGCGTGTGAGAGAGAGTACTGAGGTGTGAGCTCAGGGCCTCACGCTGTCCCCTGGCTTTTCCACTCAAGGCTGGCACTCTACCACTAGAACCACAGCTCCATGTCTGGCGTTTTGGTCATTAACTGGAGGTAAGAGTCTCAAGGACTCTCCTGACCAGGCTGGCTTCAAAGCCTCGATCCTCACGTGTCTCAGTCCCCTGTGTAGCAGGGATTACAGGTGTGAGCACCAGCCCCTGGCTTGGACACTACCTCTTAGTGTATACCTTTCACTTCAATCACTCAATGCTGCTTAATCCCTCAGAGATAAAGCTATGGGGCTGGGATGGCTACCTCGATCTGGGCAGTGTGGCTGGCGTAATGCTTCAAGGCTTCGTCCCCGTCTGGGTCGGACCCGGGTTTCAGCAAGTGCTGCAGCAGCTTATTGTGGCAAGCCAGCTGAAGGGGAGAAAGGATTTCAACAGTCAGGTGGCCAGGCCACACAATCGCCCTGCTTTGGCTTCACAGTGGTTGGTTACACTTCCGGAAAATACGTCTTGCCTATAAACATCATACATAATCAAACCCAAAAGACCAACAATTAATACCTCATGATTTCGATTAGGGCTTCATTGATCAAGAAATACCGTACTCATGAACTGGCATGTCAAACTGAAAACTCCTCCTAACAGACATAATGAGCCAAGCCTGGGACAAACACCTGTCAGCCCAGCTACTCAGGAGGCTGAGATCTGGGGATCACGGTTCAAAGCCAGCCCAGGCAGGAAAGTCTATGAGACTCTGATCGCCAATGAACCAGCAAAAAGCCACAAGTGGAGCTGTGGCTCAAGTGGTACAGCTAGCCTTGAGCACAAAAGCTCTGGGACAATAGTCCTGAGTTTAAGCCCCAGGACCAATGCATGTGCACATGCACACACACACACACACACACACACACACACACACACACATACACACACGCGTGCATGCACGTGAAAAAATACATCCTATGATTCTAAGTATGTGAACATGGTACCAACCCAGAGATTTGTTTGTTTGTTGTCCTAATTTGCAACTTGCTCAAAGTTCAACATACCTTCTTACAAATCAATTCACATATACACTCAATCTTTCAAAGTAGCTAATTCCCTATCTATGCAAGCCTATTAAAAACATCCTGAAGAATAACTCTGTGAACCAGACTTTCAGTTCGTTCTGAGGGGTTCTTGAAGTGCATTTAATCAGACAAATCTGTGCACTGTAAACCTTGCCATATACACACCCTTTCATATGACTTTTTAAAAAAAGAAGCAAGAGAAAAGCTCCCGAAGTAGGAACAGGGCCTTTGCTGTTCCTTTTTTAATGTGTGTGTGTGTGTGTGTGTGTGTGTGCATGTATGTATGTGTGTGGTATGTGTATGTATGTGTGTATGTGTATGTGTGTGTATATGTGTGTGTGTGTGTGCTTGTACTGTGACTTGAACTCAGGGCCTCATGGTTTTGCTGGGCTTTTTCTCTCAAGGCTGGTGCTATACTACTTGAGCCACATCTCCAGTGCTGGCCTTTGTATGTGGTTGGGCCATAAATGGGAGCTATTTTTGGTTTGGTTATGGATAATTAGTTGCACTTCTCAGGGCTTAGTTTTTTTATGTCAACAATTTATCTTTTAGTATTATCTTGTCATACTGCTCCGCTGTATTTTTGTGTCTAAGTAATTCTGAAATGTGAAATTCATCAACAGCCCCCCAACAAACCATTTCAAAGGCTGAGAAATCTCATCATGTAATTAATAAGACTCATATACTTGCATTATTGTCTTGTCTCTTACATTAGGAAAATCTATTTTCTGATATCACTTCAATAATATGTAAATGTGTACTATTATGTCAGTTCACTTTCTTGTCCTGAAAGCCACCCCAGCTCATACTTCTACAATAGTCTTCAGGATAAAATGTCATCTAGATAGTGATGCTTTCATTTATGGTTGAACTAGAAAAACAAATTAAATCTATCAACATTACAGGCAAAATACATACAAGCACACACACAGACATATATGTCACTATACTACATATCAATGTGCACGTTTTTGTTGGCTTATGGGTTTACTAATGTGGTTCTTTATGGCTTCATTTATAATCCATTTAGCTTTAAGCACTTGCTTAATAATGTTAAGGAATAAAAATGTAAACATTAAGAGATCCTTTCAAGGAAGTAGCACTGTGGCTCAAGTGGTAGAGCGCCGGCCTTGAGCTGAAGAGCTCAGGGCTCACAACCACCAAAAAAGACAAAAGGGGGGGAGGGGAGCTATTGCACCACATCCCATGGGCAGATGTCCATTTACAGTTCCAAACTTGCCAACAAGCCTGTCTTAGAAAAAGATAACTTCAAACCTGAACGTGTTGGTGAAATGAAATGTATCAAACAATATTTACCATGAATGGGACTTTTTTGCTGGTCCTGGGGCTTGAACTCAGCTGAGCCTCGTTGCACTCAAAGCTAGCGCTCTACCACTTGAGACACACAGAGCCACGCCTGGCTTTTTCTAAGTAGTTCATTGGAGATCAGAGTCTTGTGGACTTTCCTGCCCAGGCTGGCTTCAAACCATGATCTTCAGAACTCAGCCTCCAGAGTAGCTAGCATGACAGGTGCCCAGCTACAAATGGGAGTTCTGTATAAGCCACAAAATGGCAGCAAAGAACTGAGAAAGCAGTCTCCTGACCATCCGGGAGAAGCAGTCAGCTGCCTTGCGCCGCGGTGCTGGGAAGGTTTGTCCACCAACAGATCAAAGAGAAGACAGCTGCCCGCTGGTGTCCCCACCAGACGGAAGCGCACCCCACATCACCCGTGCCTCCCTGTGCCTGCCCCCCTGCCCCAGGACTTCAGGGAGGGTATCTCTAATTAGGATGATAAGGCGATTGCAGAGGTGTGGCAGTGACTGAGTCAGGTCATGAGTGCACTTTTGGGGACAGTGTCCCCTCTTCCCTCCCATCCCCACCCACAGTGGTAGAGCTCATTCTCCACCCGGTGTCCAGGGAGGACCACGGCTGCCTTGTCCACCCTCTGTCCCTCCAGTGCTGTGCCCCCTTTGGCCTCCCAGAGACAGAGAGATGAACAAACAAGACAACAAGGAAAGGAAACAAAAACCACCACGCTCTTGTTTCCATTTCCTGGGTAAACGGCTGGCACATCGGTGTTCCTCCTCAGCCCTCCCTCCTTCGGTCTCCTGTGAGGACTGCCTAGGGTCCTGCGGCATGTTAGTTTAGATCTAGCTTCCACGCAGGAGAGAAGACATGGGCTGCTTGTGTTCCTGAGGTGAGCCGGGCTTCCCCCCCTAGACGTGACTCCAGCTCCCTGCCTCTCGGGGAGCTGGTGGCTTTTGTGTTGTTGGGTTTGGACAGGGGGCTGTCTCTTCCCTCCTGCTCCAACAAACCTTGGTAAAGCGCGGTTCTCCGTGGCACGCGACCTGGCGGCCTCTGGAGAACGTGACCAGGTGTCAGGGGTTGGATTTGTTTTGCAACCCAAAGGCCAGAGACCGGGAGTAATGCAAGGGTATAAAAGGAGGCACCTGATGGGCCAGGATGTAGATGTTGTGGCCAACGTCCTTCGGGGAAATGCTGTCGTCCCGGGCCTCCTCCTCCCCACGGTCGCCCTCTACGCCCTGGCTGTAGGCGCTCTTCACCACGTCCACCTGGCGAGGGAAGAAACAGAATCAGACACAGGGGGATTCATCCTGATTCCTCTTCCTGACAGCTGACATGCCCGCTCACCCATCCTCACCTCCCACCACACACACGTCATACAGTGAGCAAGACTTTAAAAGTGAAAAGTAGCCAGGGCGCGGGTGGCTCCCGCCCGTCATCCCAGCTACTCAGGAGGCTGAGATCTGAGGATCGCAGTTCAAAGCCAGCCCGGGCGGGAAAGTCTGTGAGATTGATCTCCAGTGAACCACCAAAAAGCTGGAAGTGGTGCTGTGGCTCAAGTGGTAGAGCATCAGCCTTGAGCAAAACAGCTCAGCAAGAACATTTAGGCCTTGCCGTCAAGTCCCAAGATTACCTCAAAAAAAAAAAAAAAAGGAAAAAGCTTTCTGAGACAGAAAAGCATAAAAGTTCTCAAACTATGAATATTCTGACACTGTGTTTGTTTGTTTGTTAACTAGCTTTGAACTCAGGGCCTCTGAGTTCCCTTACGATTTCACACAAAGCGGGCGCTCTACGTTTGAGCCAAAGCTCCACCTCTGGTTTGTTTTTATGTTAACTGGAGATGAGTCTCGTGGACATCCCTGCTCAGGCTGGCTTGGAACCTCTAGCCTCGGATCTCAGCCTCCTGTTATTTGTTTTTAAGCAGCTTAATCATTGGGGAACCAAATCTAGAGACACTCAGTCCCACACAGACTGGTGCGGCGTCAGCAAATCAGCATTGCCACACTGTATCACGTCGGGAACTATGGCAAAAGAAGTCTCTAGATGTTCAGCATTTAATCAGTTTTTGAAATAAATCGCATGTTTCACTGGGTAAGTGTTTTTGCTCTACAACCCGTTGAATTTATGATGTGATGCCTATAAATATGGAGGACATAACTGTACTCACAATTAAACCAAAACCAACTTTTCATTTTTTCTGGAAAAATGCATGTGGACCTAGTTTAGGAGAGCGCGATGAGGAAAGTGCTTAGGATGAATACAACAATGAGGTGAGAACATTTCCACAAGGAGACCCACAAATGGCTACAAAACACGGGCAGAGATGCTCAGCACCCTTCACCGCAACTGAAGCGTTCCTCAAGCAAGGTGAGCTTCGTCCAGGTCAACCCAGCCATAAGGGTGACCTCAGGGAAGCGAAGAAACCACAACAGCTAGAGGGGATCGTAGCGGGAGAGGAATCCTTTACACTGTTGGTGGGACTGTAAATTAACGCAGCCACCGTGGAACTCAGTATGGAGGTTGCTTGAACACACACACACACACACAGAAAAACAACTAAAGATCCAGGTGCAGGCGGCTCACGCCTGTCATCCTAGCCACTCAGCAGGCTGAGATCTGAGGATCATGGTTTAAAGCCAGCCCGGGCAGCAAAGGAAAATCCAGTGAAAATCTCCAGTGAAACCCCAGGAAGCTGGAAGTGGAGCCGTGGCTCCAGGTGGTAGACCACTAGCCTTGAGCACAAGAGCTCAGGGATGGTGCCAAGTCCAGGTCTTGAGTTCAAGCCCCATGAACAACAAATATAAACAAATAAAAAATAAAACCTGAAGACTGACAGATCTACCGCAGCTGAAGGTACTAAACATATAGTTGAGATACCTGCACACCATCCTAATAAATCACAGTCGCTCACACAAGGAATCAGCCTGGGGGTCCGTCAGTTGTAGCGTGTATGCCCACTTCACCACTGAGAAAGCCAAGTAACGCACTCTCCCCCAGCTGTGACATCCAGTCCCTAACAGGAAGACAGGCCTGTAAAGCAGGCTGGGGGGGGGGGGCACCAGCTGGACGGAGGGGGGATGGGAGAGGATACAGGAGGGGCTGAATATGGAGGACATGTATTTTACCCATGTTCACATACAGGACAAGGAAACTTGTGAGCCTGTTCTGAGAAGGGGCGTTGGGGAGGGGAAGGGATGGGTTTGATCAGGGAAAGTGATCAGGGCAAAAAAGCACTGGTATGCAAATGATATGCTAATAAACACTGCATAGGAATAAAATATGCAAATGGCCACAGGGAAACAAAGAAACAAGAATGCCATGGCCCTACCAGCCTCTGCCCCAACGGTCTGTGACGCATTATAACAGTAGGTCGTGACGGGTTTGGTTTTGGAGATGCACACGGCACGCTCGCGCCTCTTTGGAAAGATTTCTTACCAGCTCCCGGGGTCTCATGTTGAAAAGAATTCTCTCTGCATTCTCGCTGTCATGTCTGCTTTCCATAATGGCCAGCAGGAGCTTGGAGGCATTGTTCTGGAAATAGGAATTGAGTTAATGCACAGGTTAAAACTGATCATGAAGTCACCGTCTCTTCAAGGTTTTTGTTTTCTTTCTTCCTTTCTTTTTGTGCCAGTCCTGGGGCTTGAACTCAGGGCCTGGGCACTGTCCTATGCATTTTTGCTCAGGGCTGGCGCTCTACCACTTCAGCCACAGCCCCACTTTAGCTTTTTTTGGTAGTTTATAAGACATAGGAGTCACACAGACTTCTGCCTGGGCTGGCTTCAAACCACAATCTCAGATCTCAGCCAACTGAGAAGCTAGGATTACAAGCGTGAGCCTGACTCAAATCATTTTAAGACAGTCAACGTTAAACAGTCAATGTTAGAAAAAAATACTAAATGGAACTGGCGTTTGGTCTAGGAAGATAATTGTTACCCGGATTTTGGTGAAGGTGGTACAAATTAATTCTATTGAATGTTTGCAGTACTGAATTCGACCCGACTCCTTCAGAAGTACATCCTAAAAACGCTCTCTCGGTGATTAATATCAGGAAAAACAATCAATGCTGATTGGTTGTAATGCACCAGGGCTACTAGCCCACCATGAATACATTTTAGCACTTTGAAGGAAATTTTATTTTTTCTGTCTCATTTTTATTTTACTTGTATTTTTTTTTTTGCAGCTTCACACTAATCCTAAAAAAGTAAGGCTCTGGGATCCGTGGAGAGCTTCACTCAGGAGAAGCTAACGCAAACAGCATGCTAACAGCGGCAGAGCTCTGTAATGAGCCGGTAAGAGCAGACACACACGCATCCAGTTTCAGAGGGCGATCAGCAGCGTGGCATTGTCAAACCAATTTTCTTTTTCACATTAGGTCAGAAGAACAGAGGGAAACCTTTGTAAACAACCTACTGAAATGTGAACCACTCTGTAAGCCTTGTACTTGCACAAACAGACCAAAAAGAAACAAATTCAAATGTAAGTTTCAAACAGCAGGAGAACTTTCTCCACAGGAAGCCGGATTCTTTAAAACAAAAGATAAAATAAAAAATGAAACCATCCTACTTCCTTATAAAGTCAGCCCTCCATCTTCACAGACTAGTAAAGATGATGACAGATTTTCTTAATTCATAATTATATGCTAGAATCCATAATTATCTGCCAATTATATACTGCTATCATTAACACTAGCTAGGCACTAAATGAATACATAAAATATACTCAAACTTACAGATAATTGAGCAATTAGATCCAGAAGGGGATGATATCAAATGAACCTCAAAATTTCTAATAAAGCATCTCAATAATGTTACAGGAAATTTATTATTTAAAGCACTCTACACATGAAATTCCCTGAAATTTGAACACACACCATTGTGTCTTAGAATCACTGTTCTCCTGTTAACCAAGATGTACAAAAGATCAGCATTCCTTTAATAAGGGGTAGTCACCCACTTCTTAAAGAACTATACCTAAAATATTTCCAGTTCATTCACCGGGCACTGGTGGCTCTCACCTGTAATCCCAGCTACTCAGAAGGCTGACGAGGACTGCAGACTGAGGCCAGCCCAGGTAGCAAGGTCCATGAGACACTTATCTCTAATGAACTACCCCCCAAAAAGTGCCAGAAGTGGAGCTGTGGCTTTAGCCTTCAGTGAACCAGTCAAGCGAAAGCTCTTGGCCCTGAGTTCGAGCCCCAGTACTGGCACAATTTCTTTTCCCTTAAGGAGATTTAGAAAGAAGAGAGACCAACCTAAGCGTACTCTTTTGCTCTTTTTTGGAACTCTTTCACACTCTTTTGTACTCTCTTGACTTCCTAGATGGAATTTTCTAGTAGTTCAACATACACACGATAGTGAATGTTGGATATCCTTTCCATCTCTTTAGAGTAAAAAGAACAAAAAAAAAAAAACCCAAAGAAATAAAATTGAAAGAGCAATAGAACAAGGGAAACAAGCAAGCAAATGGCACAGCATTGCTTCAAAGAAGTCTTCGTAAGTTAACACTATCACTTTTAATCAGGAGCTTAACAAGCCTGTTGACTTTACTATCCCATTCTGTGAAGCCATGGAATTGAACAGCTCTTCCCTTCGAGGCTCTTCCCTTCGAGCGGCGGCCACTGTACCTTGAGCTGGAGAACCAGGTCCATCCGGTATCTACCCAGAGGGTTAATATCATTCAGGATCAAAGCAATGATAATATCGATGCCATTAGACTCATGAGTAGCAATGCAGGTCTAGAAAACAAAACAGTTGTGAAATCACAGATGATTGCGGACATCGCCCTGGACATAAGGGAACACAAAATCATAAAGTCACTTTAGCCTCTGGGCTTCTACAAGATGAGCCTGAAGGAATAAATGGAATTTGGCCAAGCACTGGTGCTCACACCTGTCATCCCGGCTACTCAGGAGGTTGGTCTGAGGATCAGGGTTCAAAACCAGCCTGGGCAGAAAAGTGGAGGAGATCCTTATCTCTAATTAATCAGCAAAAAGCCAGAAGTGGAGCCGTGGCTCAAGGGGTAGCGTGAAGAGCCTTGTGAGAAAAAGCCAAAGGAGAACAGGAGGCCTGAGTTCAAGCCCCAGCACTGGCACAAAAAAAAGGGGGGGATGATGGAAAAAGGGGTGACATTATTCAAGATGTATTGTACTCACAAACTGATGTGTGAACGGAAACAATAACAATAACAATAATAATACTGCCATGAAATGGAATCAGAGACTCAAAAACAGAACTGACCTCTGGGCCTGTCTCCAGTTAGATTCAGTTCAAAGTCCTGCGTTTGCAGGACCCACCTTCAGCTGACTGAGCCTCAGGCAGGTTGAGACTCGGAATCCCTGCCCTGATCTACTCAGTAGCAAAATAAGAGCCATCGTGTTTACTTACATTCCTGGGCCAGTGCTCTACCCCACCCCCCATGCAGCCAGCGGAAATTTCCAGAAATCTTAGAGAGATTTGGTTATAGATAAAAACTGCGTCTTGGCTAAGAAACATGTTTTACCCTTTCTAAAATTTAAAACAAAAAGCCTTTCTCAGAAGCTGATTTTCATCTTGAACACTTTTCTCGGAATTTTCTTTTACAATGAAACTGGGGGAAGGGGGGGGGGATGTGGCAGGGTTTTCTGGCTTTGTTTTGTTCTTGGTGTTGGTACTGGGACTTGAACTCGGGGCCGGGTTATCTTCCCTTAGCTTCTTCACTCAAGGCTGGCGCTCTACCACTTGGAGCCACGCAGCTCCACTTCTGACTTTCTGGTGGTTCGTTGGAGAGAGAGTCTCACAGACTTTCCTGTCCGGCCTGGCCTCCAACTGTGGTCCTCAGGTCTTAGCCTCCCGAGTAGCACGATTCAGTCTTTGCATGTTTGGGGGGGGGGAGGGTGCTAAGTGAAAAATGTCTGGCAAAGGAAGAAGAGCGTCCATACCGCCTGCAGCCTCCTCCCCTCCCGCGAGCCCTCCACACTGCCAGGTCGGAGCCCGGGTCGGGCTGCGGGTACCTGGTTTTCGTGGCACGGGCCCTGGCAGTACTCGGTCAGGCTCTCCAGGGTCTGGTTGACCAGCGCCACGTTCTTCTCGTTGATATAGAGCCCCAGAAGGCCCAGGCCCCCTGTGGTGCTCCCGCAAACGCAGTCCAGAAACTGAAGCGTCTCACAGACAAGGTTATAATTTGTCTTGTTCTTCTGATTCCGCAAGAAGTTCTGAGGAGGGAAAAGAAAACACAAGGAGCTAAAATAAAACCAAGAAAATAAAGAAAACCCAGGGGGTTAACGCACACAAACACCACCACTGGGTAATCCCGCAGCATTCTCTAGGTGTGTTTTACAACTCAAAAAGGCTCCATACAGAGCCCCTGCGGCTCACGCCTGTCACTCAGGAAACTTGGGAGAGGAGGATCATGGTTCAGAACCTGGGAGACTCTTGTCTCTGATTAACTAGCAAAAAGCCAGACATGAAGATATGGTCCAAATGGTACAGCACTAGCCTGGAGTTAAAAAAAAAAAAAGCTAAGCATTGAGTGTGAGGCTCTGAGTTCAAACCCCCAAATCAGCAAACAGCAGGAGCCCCATCTGGAAAGTAAGCAGAGCAGGAGAGGAAGGGAGACACGGCTCACGGGACCCAGCGCCTGGGTGTGAGCAAACGGGAGGATCACAGTCCAAACTGATGCGGGGGGGGGGGGGGGGGGGGGAGAGGCTATGTGGAAAAGGAACTAGGCCCCTTGGTATAATTGCTTTACAATAACGAGCTCTAAAGCCAGATGAGGGACATCGATGAAAAAGGAAGTGAGGCAGCCAGGGCCCGGGGCTTGAGAACCACAGAAAAACAACCCTAAGACGTGAGCTGATTGTGACAGCAGGGAGAGCCTTTCTCCGCCATGGCTCTCGCATGCGCGTGCGGGGCTCTCGGCTGGCTCTGGGCAGGCTCCCCACCGGCCGGCTCCCGGGCTGCTGCTGCTGCTGCTGCTGCGCTGCCCGGGCTGTGGCCGCAGGCCGCCCTGGGTGCCCCGGGCCCGCAGGGGCCACGGCCGTCGGCATACCTGCAGTTCTCGGTTGTGATTCTCGCACAGCAGCTGCAGGAACCTCAGGACGGGCTGCATGGTGGCCACCGTGGGGCTCATGGGCATCTCCTCCGTGGACTTGCCCTCCGCATGGCCCGGCTCTGACCCAGCACACATGAGGTCCACGTCCGGGTCCATGTCTCTCCGGTACACGCAGTAGGCTTTGGAGGTGGCCGACGAAGCCTCGCTCAACTGCCCTCTCATCCCCTCTTTCAGATGGAGCCCCGGATCTCGCGCTGGAAATAAAGCCAGACATCACTTCATATTCCTTTCTTTCTTGTTTGTGCCAGTCCTGGGGCTTGAACTCAGGGCCTGGGCGCTGTCCCTAGCTTCTTTTGCTCAAGGCTGGCGCTCTACCACTTGAGCCACAGTGCCATGCCCAGCTTTTTCTGTGCATGTGGTGCTGAGGCATCGAACCCAGGGCCTCACGCATGCTAGGTGAGCACTCTACCACTGAGCCCCCTTCCCGGCCCCTTGCATATTCTGAGCTGATACCCTTTTGTGTGTGTGGCACTCCTGGGACTTGAACTCAGGGCCTGGACACTGTCCCTGAGCTTTTTTTTTGTTTTTTGATCAAGGCTTTTTGCTGGCTAATTGAAAAGCTGACTTCAAATTGCCATCGTCAGATCTCAGCCTCCTGAGTAGCAAGGATGGCAGGCCTGAGCCCCTGGCGCCATCCTAGGGACCTATACAGAACACAGCCAGGGACCGGCACCTTCTAATAACTGAATTTCAAAAGAAATCACCTGACATGAGTTTCAACATGACAGCTGCGCATTGGTGACTTACGGCTGCAATTCTAGCTACTCTGGGGGCTCAGATGTAAGGACCATGGTTCAAAGACAGCCCAGGCAAATGCACCAGACTCTTATCTCCAACGAACCAGCAAAAAGCCAGAAGCAGAGCTGTGGTTCAAATGGTCAAGTGCCAGCCTTGAGCGAAAAAGCTACTCAAAAGCAACAGGCTCTGAGTTCAAACCCCAGTACTGGCACAAAAACACAGACAGAAACCTGGTTTCCGGAGCAATTCCCACCCACACCACTGAGGAATAAGGTTTCCTGTTACTCTGTGATTTGCATTAAAGAAACCTCAGCACTACTTGGGGATCTAGCCAGTGATCAAAACTGTGTGAGTAAGTGTGTGTGTGCGTGTGTGAGTGTGTGTGTGTGTGCGAGTGTGTGTGTGTGTGTGCGCGCGCGTGTGGTGTGTGTGTGTGAGAGAGTGTGTGTGCGTGTGTGTGTGTGAGCGTGTGTGTGTGTGCACCCGAGTGCACAGACGCACTAGTGCTGGGTCTTAAACTCAGGGTCTCCCCTCGCTTTTTTTGCTTAAAGCTGGAGCTTTCCCACTTGAGCCTTCCTTGGAGATCAGCGTCTCACAGACTTTCCTGCGCAGGCTGGCTTTGAACCATCACCTCAGGCTTCAGCCTCCTGGGTAGCTAGGATGACATCGGCACCTGGCTACTTTTTCTTTAATTTCTGCACATCTCCCAGACTTCATTCCTCAGCTGCATGTGGACTGCTTGCCCCCTGCCTTCTCTCTGTCTTTCGAAGGTGACTTCTACCAGGCACACTTCCCGATAGATAATCTACCGTGCAGATGTCGGCTCTGATGTCAACCGTTAACTCTAGGAAGTCTGTTTTAAGTGTGCTCGCCCCGCCCTGCCCGGCCTTGCCCTTAACCCAGCCTCAGACCTGCCGGCTCATCTCTCCACGTCCAGCCTTGAGCTGTGAGGTCTAGACTGGGAGCCCTTCTGTTCCTTCCTTGTTCCAAATGCAGTTCCCTCCGCAATGCAACCTCCGGAAACATCTCACACACGCATCAGCCAGTGAACAATGCGTGGCTTCACCTCCACGGAGACCTTGTGCGTGTATCCAGCCCCTGACGTGACCGTGTGTGTGCCCAGCCCCTGGCGTGAAAGGGTCGCCCCACAGTGGTGGGTCGTGCGGCCTTCTCCCCCCCCCAACTCCGCACCTCTCATCCGCGCCCTGGGCATCGCCAGCTCCTGGTCTCCCTCCTGCGTCCTGCTCCCCAGATCTACGGTATTCACAGTCACCGTTGATCGGATCTCTTTCTGGGCAGCCTTCATTCGATCGTAGAGAACTTTGAAGAACTTTTCTGACTTTTTCTGCTCATGCAACTGCTGATAGAAAGAATACTGCAAGAAAACGCATCAGAAGATATCAGGAGCTGGTGGGGAAGGGGGTGCTTTATGCTTAAAAATGAACCCAAGGATTAGAGATAAAAGCTCACATGAAAGATGTGACCAGTTACAACTCCATAATTTGGTGGTTGTTCCGTCTTGTACACTATCTATATAAATGAACCTGCTTGACACTGCTGATCACACCTGCAATCCCAGCTACTCAGGACACTGAGATATGAGGATCATGGTTCAAAACCAGCCTGGTCAGGAAAGTCTGTGAGCCTCTTCAATCCCATGAACAAACCCAAAGCTAGAAGTGGAGCTGTGGTTCAAGTGGTAGAGCACCAGCCTTGAGCACAAAAGCTCAGGGACAGCAGCCAGGCCCTGAGTTCAAGCCTCAGGATCCGCAAACACACACACAAGAAATGTAAGCCAGGTACTGGTGGTCAAACTTGTAATCATAGCTACTCAGGAGGGTAAGATCAAAGCCAGCCTGGGCAGAGAAGACTGTGGGACTCTTAACCCACAAAAAGTCAGGAGAAGAGGTGTGTTTCAAGTGGAAGAGCACCAGCCTTAAGTGGCAAATCTAACAGCACCTGGGCCCTGAGTTCCAGCCCCAGTACTCGTGCGCGCACACACACGCACGTGCACACGCACGCATGCGCACATGCACACGCACACACACGCACGGTACTTATTAAATACTATGTGGAAAATAAAGTCTACAACTTGTGGGTGGGGATGATGGGAGGGAAAAACTGGGAGAGAGCAAGGGCAGGGGGGACATGGTCCAAACATAAAGGTACTCATGACCTGACTTATGAAACGGTAACCCCTCCGGACTTCACACCTTCACAACAGCGACAACAACGCTCAAAAAGAGAGAGCAGGGAAAGGAAGAAGGGAAGAAGGAAGGAAAAAGGAGGGAGAAGGGAGGGAGGGAGGGAGGGGGAGGGAGAAGGGAG